GGCTTCTCACAGAGGTGGTGTGAAGCCCTGGGGGAGGGAGGGAGGGAGGGAAAGGAGTGGGATCCAGCTGTTTGGCCCAGGGTCCTCCCTGGGGGTCCCCTTGGCTGGGTGTGTTTGGGCCTGATTTGTTGTGTTAGGTGCCCTGTGGATTTCTGACTCAAGGCAACCTCACGGGACAGGGTAGAACCGCCCCAGAGCGTTTCCTGGTCTGTAACCTTTATGGGAGCAGGTCCCCAGGTCTTCCCCTTGGAGTGCCTGATGGATTCGAACCACCGACCTTTTGGTTAGCAGCTGAGTGCCTACCCACCACGCTGTCTGGGCCTAAAGGGAGGCAATGCTGCCTCCAGTAGCCCAGAGTGCCCGACACCTCCTGGGTCCCCACAGCCCTGTGCCTTTGTACGTAAACCTCAGGGCAGCAACTAAAGCAGGGGATGACACCCTCTGAAGCGTCAGTGCAGGGCTCCGTCGCTGCTCGGGGCTGTGGCGGGGCTGCGGCACACAGGCGGCGGGGCCTTCTGCCCACCCTGCCCCTTGCCCGTCCCCCCCACTGTACCTCTCTGTCAGGTAGCCGATGAAGCCTGGATGGAGCAGCTTGAATTTACTGGCAGAGGCTTCTGGTCCAAAATACATCTGCGGCCTAGGACCCACGAAAGAAGTGGACAGAGCGACCCGACCCCACGTCATACGTGGGCACATTCGGCAGTGGGGTCAGGGGCAGCCGGCGCCGGCCAGCCCGGTGGGGGCGGGGGTGGGAGTAGTAGCGGGAGAAGGGGGTGTAGAAGGTGGCAGGCAGCACGGTGGGGACGACGTGTGGCTTCCCGCTCACCAGGACCTCGGTGGGCGGCGAGTAGGACAGGGAGGAGGGGGGCGTGAACAGGGAAGGAGGGGTGGGGTAGGCGCAGCTGACCGGGGGCTGGTGGGGAGGCGGTGGGAGCAGAGGGAAGTAGAGGGAGTCAGGGGGTGGCGGGGGCGGTGGGGGCGGGCAGGGGAAGGAGCAGGGGAAACAGCGGTTTTGGGGAAGTGGTGCTGTTGGGGGTTGGAAGAAGGGGGGCTCCTTCATGAAGCGGGGCACGTAGGGGGCGATGAAGGATGGGATGCCCCGAATGGGCCCGATGAAGGAGGCTGAGCCGCTGGGGCTTGGGGCAGGGGACTTGGTGATGGGCACAGAGGGGTTTTGGGAGGGGTTGCGAGAGACGGGTTTCAAACCGGACTGGGAGGGAGACTTGGAGGGGGGCGGGGTGGGGCCTGGGGCGGAGCTTCGGGACACGTGTTGGACATTAGGGCTGGGGGCCAGGGAGGAAGTGCGGGATGAGGGCTGGGAGGCCTGGCGGGAGGCGGAGCCCCCCCTGGTGGGGGATGGGGATGGGGACGGGGACTGGGCTAGACCACCAGAGCTGGAGTGCTGCTGGGTGGGAGCGGTGACAATGTTGTTGGACCGGGACTGGGAGGGGGACTGGGTGGGGGACGGGCTAGGGGTTTGGGAGGGGGAGCTCATTGGTGTTGGAGAGGGTTCCTGTCCAGCTGATGCTCAGGCCAGCTCCCCCTAAGAGCCCAGCCCGTGCGTGTCACAAAGCCCCCCTCATCACAGGGAGCAACTGTTAGGTCACTGTTAGGGCAGGGCCCTGGCCTGGCTAGGAGCAGTAATCTAAGGACCCCTCCAAAGCTGCTCTTGGGGGAGTGGGTGAGATGACTGGGGCCCTGAGCTAGGAGGGCCAGGTAGCTTGGCACAGACTCCTGGATCTGACCCCAGGATGGGAAAGGTTTCCTACCGCAAGGGGTAGGTTCAAAAGGGCTGGGCCAGGCCCGCTGGACAGGAAGGTGGGAGAAGACAAAGTGTCCTCTGTTCCCACATGCAGGATGCAGCCTACGTGAGCCCTCTCCTGTTTCGCGGGCACAGCCCTTGGAAGCCGCCAGGATGAGTGGCATGGACAATAGTCCCTTCTCTTAGGTTCCACAAACAGTGCGCTCAGACCCAGCTGTGCAACGACCCTGCGAGCATTGCCTGGCTGTGTGCCACGAGCTGTGGGGCTGGGCTGGTCACCAAGGCAGTGCCCTGAGCAGAGGGGCCATGCCCACATTCAAGCAGCGACTCTGTCCCTTGGGCCCACCTCATCAGGAGGGTTCCTGGGCACCTTGTGGTGGACACAGGGGCATTGTTCCCCAAGGCTGTTGAGTTCTTCCTGGGGGTTCGCCCACCTGTCTCAAGAAGCCCAGGACTGCAACCTCCCTCCCCTTCCGTTCTTTACCAACTGTCTCCACCCCTCACAGGCCCCAGGAGCAAGGGGGTGACTACTGTCTCACCCAGCCCCTGCCCCACAGCATCTCGGCATCCCAACCCCACTCAGCTCCTTACCTGTCCCCTTTATCAGTGCCCTCGGGGACAGGCACACCCAGAATGGCTGACCGCAGCATCACGTAGTCGCGGATGTCAGAGGGGATGAAGATGTAGCGCAGGTCCTGTCAGGGCAAGAGAGACGGTGAGCCCAATGGTGACGAGCCCACCTTTAGTTCAGAATAGACAACCCTCCCTCCCTCCTGGCTCTGCCGCATGGCCTGACCGGAGAATTTCTCCCAAGTAATTCTGTCTCTGAAGTATTGTGGTGGTTTTAAAATGTGTCTACTATCCTTTGATATTTCTTCCTGCAAGGGGTGGAGCCTAATGGCCAATCCACTTGTGTGTGGACTAGACCTGGAAGCTTGTTTGTAACAGAGAAGTGGAAGGAGGAAGAAAGGCCTGGCAATCTATTCCCACAAATTAGCCCATGAAACATGACAGATTGCAACAAAGCATCGTGCGGTACAGTGTGGAGACGGGTCCCCCAGGCTGGAAGGCCTCCGAATACACAGTGGCCGCCGGAGCAGCCCACCTGTCCAGGCTGCATTTCCTCTGTGCGTGGCACTGTGGAGCGGGGATGAACGTCCCCTGATGTCCCCACCCCCGTTCCCGACCCACGAGAAACAGTAACACAATGGGCATTTAAGTAAAAAAATAAGTGGAAGGGCTGGTGTGTGACTCTCAGACTAGGCCACTCATGACCTAACCACCGCGGCTTCCTTGTGCTCTTGGCTCTCTCCCTCTGGTGACACCGGCTGCCCTCTGCCAAGCACTCCCTTACCCTTCAAAGGCCCACGTAGTGGCACCTGTGAGTGCGCCATCATGACTCCAGCTCCAGTCAAGCCTTCAGATGATGGCAGTCCCCCCCAACCCTGACTGCGCCCACCCAAGAGACCCTGAGCTGCTCCCACATTCCCGACCCGTAGGAACTGTGAGATAACAAGCGTTCGTTGTTTAAAGCCTTGAAGTGGCAGGGAACCGTGAGGTAAGAACAGGTAACTCATATGTGCACTGTGGCCACACCTGAAAGGAGGGTATCCGTTTGGCTGTGTCATGAGCTACGATGAGGGACTGTCGGCACAGACACTGTGTAGGGACACCCAGGAATTCCATGGTCAGAGGAGGAAGCTTCTGGAACACTCAGATGGATTCACCCAGTGCCACAGAAGGTCTTCTCCTGGGCTCTCCCTGACCCTACATATGGCACCCAGAACACTCAAGGGGGAAGGCGTGATGTGACGTGAAGTGGGTGTGGCTAAAAGAAGCTGGGAGCACACACAGGCTCAAATTCTGGCCCCCTCCCTCACTAGCTGTGACCTTGAGCAGGCTCTACAACCTCTCTGACCCTCAGTTTCCAAACAGTGAAATTCCCGGCACAGGGCTGTTATGAGAATCCAAGACACCTTCTGGTAGTGGAGAAATGGGAAGAACCCTAGCTCTGAGGTCAAAGGGGCCTGGATTCGAATTCAAGCCGTGTGACCTCAGAAGCATTTGGAACCCTCAGAGACTCAGAAGCTAAGTCATAAAAGGGCTGCGCTTCTCGGCTCCCTTGTGGGTCGCTGTCTCTGCTGAAGTCACAGGAGCCAGCCATCCACAACAGTGGTCCGGCCGTCAGGGGCCTCACCTGTCGCTGTGGGATGGAGGTGAAGCCCAGGTGCCTATAGGAGATGAGAGAGTTCTTCATCGTGTTCACAGTGAAACCATAGAATGAGGTCTTGGTGCCCACATCGTCCTCGAAGCCTTTGATCACGGCACCATTGAGTCTGGTCAAAACAGGCCCACCAGCCTCTGCGGTTACACCGTCTGTGTGTCCTTCCAGCCCCACGGCTCCCCCATGCCTGCGCCCAGGCCTCTGTGAGCACCCCGCCCACTGCCTGTGAAGTGGGTAAATCTGGCCCTGTGGTTCCTTCCTCGGGGTCCCCTTGGCCTGTGGCACCCACTCTCTGCCTTCAGGGTCGACTGCTTCCATTCTCTTTCATCCAAGCCTGTCTGGCCAAGCTTCTGCTGAAGGCCTCTGTTGCCCAGGCCTACGGCCCTCAGAGCGGAAGCTGCCCTGGGGCTGGTGGAGGGCCACTCTCCTCCCGGCTCTTCCCTCCCCCTCCTCCCTGGCCCCTGCCCCTCGTACCTGAACACATAGTCATGGGCGTCGATGTTTGGGCCCTGGCGGGAACCATTCAGAATACCCCCGTTACCCACCACAGCACACCGGATGCAGTCTGGAAGAGACTCCTTGGAGGTGGCAAACAGCTCCGCACTATCTGAGCCGTTCAGGAGGTTCAGGGTGGAAGCAATGGCTGTGGGTGTGGGACAGAGGGCGCAGAGAGGAGGGGCATCAGGAGAGCCATGCCGGGCCTTCGCTGACCACCTGGTTCTGGTGCTGCACCTCCCCCGAGGCCCGAGCAGAAGCCCCTCGGAGCACAGAGGGTGGGTGGGAGGGTCAGAACTGAAAAGAGGAAGGTGGGGCTGGGGGCGCTGGGCCGTCAACTTCCTCAAGACCTCAGGATATCAAGCCCTTTCAAGCCTTGTGATTTCTCATCGACACTTGGAGGAGTGGAGCTGGGAAATGAGGCGATTTCCATGGCAGCACAAATAAGACTGCTGAGGCCCCCACAGCCTCTGTCCTCGGCTACCTTTGGACACTGGCACCTTTTGTGCCAGGAGGCCCCAAGAGGACCAGAGTCACTCCACGGGGGCAGCCCTGGTCCCACTCCCTCAAAGCGTGAGGTAAAGCAGGAGTTGGGCACAGCTCTGAGTCAAGCCCTCTGAGGGGAAAGCACCTGTCACCGGTGCTGTGGCCAAGAGCAGGAGGCAGGGACCAGCTGAGGCAGAGGGGTGTGAGGGAGGGCTGGCGTGCGGTCACCTTGGTGGGAGAGCCCCTGCCAGCCATAGGGGGCTCTGTGCCAGCTCAGGCTGTTCCAGAGCTCCCGGGTGAAGGCGCGCCCCCACAGCAGCACTGGGGTGGAGAAATTAAACAGCCTCCGGAAGTGGGGGTTCCGCTGGACGGTGAAGTACAGTGGGCAGCAGCACAGCCTGCTCTGTGGGTGAGAAGAGGGCCAAAGCCAGTCAGGTGGGGAGCCCACCGGGGAGCCCAGAGACCCCACAGGAGAGCGGCGACAGAGAGAAGAGCCGCCTTCCGTCCTCCAGACTCGACCGCCCCAGGATCTACAAGTCGAGCTGGTCTGCGGTCCAGTGGCCCAGTGGGGGTGGGAGAACTTTCTAGATTTACCCTCCTTGGCCCTTCTCCTCCTTGTGTAACTTCCTCACGGCCTGATGGCTCTGGCCTGTCTGTCATGCTCCTTCACCTCACACCTGGGGAGACTTGGGGTACCTTCCACTGAAGGGGTATGACCCTGCTGTCCTGCAGAGGAGGAGCCCATGTCAGCCTGGATGACACCAATTGTATGATTCACGTGGGAAGGGCTATGGGGGAGATTTAGGGCAGCACTGCTCCCACCGGTACCTCTGGACAAGAGCTGTTGAGGAAATGTGAGGCCCTGTAATCCCACCATCTTGGAATCGCACACAGCTTCGGCCTGTGTAGGGTTACTGTTACTCAGGACTCCAACTGGTTCATTCTGGTTTCACACCCTGCTGAGAAATTTCACTGCCACCACATATAGACTGATCGATCGATCGATCGATCAATCAACTGATAGATCAATGGTATGTAGATAGAGACAGAGATATACACATATCAAGTAGGAAAACCTATTGGGTTTCCAAGGTGGTAAATCTTGACAGAAGTAGACTGCCTAGTCTTCTTTCTGTAGAGTGGCTGGTGGGTTTGAACCACCAATCTTCTGGTTATGCCTTAGGGACTGTGCCTCCAGAGCTCCTAAGATTCAGTATAAACCAAACCAAACTCACTGCTGTTGAGTTGATTCAACTCATAGTGACCCCTCCATGGGTTTCTGGGGTGGTATCTCTACAGAAGTAGATTGTCCAGTCTTCCTTCTGAGGAGTGGCTGGCGGTTTTGAACCACCAGCCTTCTGGTTAGCAGCCGAATGCCTTATCCACTACGCTACTGGAGCTCCTTCTAATGTGACACAGGAGTGCTTAAACATTGCTGCACTATGTAAAACAGTGCAGTCAAACCTCAGGGCTTGTGGGGTGCTCTGGTTCCCTAGTACCACTCTTGACAGGAATATACCACAAATGGGATGGCCTTAACAAACAGGACTTTATTCTTATAATTTGGAGGCTTTAAGTCCAAGTTCAAAGTGCCGGGCTCTAGGGGCTGGGTGAAAGCCCCTCAACCTTGGGGTCCAGCTCTGCCTCCTGCTCCCGGCCCACTGGAGCTAGAGACATTTCTTCACTCAGATAGCTGTTGGCTGCTGAGGCTGAGAAGCCCAAGATTGACAAGTAAAAAGGCACAGTCCCGATGTTACCAAACCACACGGCAGGCCATTCATTGTCAAGGTTGGCAGAGCATGGCAGGCTGCTGAACAACAACACGGCTACATGCAGGGTCCAAGTGTGCCATAAACTAGAGACTATTCCCAAGGCTTCTCTTCGTATACAGGAAGAAGACCACATTCCAAAGGCAGCTACTCAGCTACTTGTGGTAGATCCCACCATGGAGTTGATTGCCAGTCTCATCATGGGGAATAACTACCACCCGCTGCCCAGCCACTCAACCAGGCCCAGCCAAGCTGACACACAAACATAACTACCACATGGGGGAAATGGGATCAGTGACCAAAAACTTTGTCAGTGACCCGTCAGACCAAAGATGGGAACCTAATAACGGTAGCTGTGTTAAGAAATGGTCAAGAGATGCATAAATCCTACAAAAGGGTGGCACTTCACCTTGAAAAATATTCGAAGTTTGCTTGGGGAAGTGGCCGTCGGAAGGGCAGCTGTCTGTGAGTTACTGGGAACTGGTGGCAGGAGGGTTGTCTGAAATCAGACCCCAGCCAGGGATAGGTGAGGTCCTGGCACGTGTGTCACCTGAGGGAAGTGTGTGCTGTGTGTCCCACAGTCACACGCGAATGTTCTCCTTTGATGATCTCCCGTCCCCTCCTGTCCTGAATGAGCATGCGGAAAACCACTGCCAGTGTGGGGACCACTGTACCTTTCTTGTTCCGGAATTCAGTACATTGGGTCCAAAGAAGGCTTGTGGTGACGTGGTGTCCCTGAGGGAGAAGACAGAGGTAGAGCTGGGCTCTGGCTCGGCCCCGTCGGGGGATCCTGCCTGCCCCTTGGGGGTCCCCTAGCCTGACCCCCTGAACTCTGGGGGCTCATAAAATCCATCCATCAGGGTCCAAAGCTGTGCGTTCCCTGCGTCCTCTACTTCTGTGTGTGAGCCTTGCACATCTCTCTCTCTGGTCACACAAAATACTGTGACTTTGCTCCGTTCTGCCCAAAGTCAAAGCCTTCAGCAAGTGGCAGGAATGGGTAGTAACCAGAGTTAGTGGGACAGCGGTTACGATGTGGCTGCCCCCCAGGACAGCCAGCCAGCGCTTGGGAATGCAAACCGTTGAGGGCTCTCTGGGCCTCCTCCCTTTGGGTGGGTCCCTGCCGTCTGGGTGGTGGGCAGGGCGTGGGCTCTGACACCTGCCTCTCTGGGTTGTTGTTGTTATGTGCCGTGGAGTCGGCCCGACTCATAGGGACCCCTCCTTGGGTTTCCGAGGCAGTATCACTACGGAAGTAGGATTGCCCAACCTTTCTTCAAAGGAGTGGCTGGGTTAGCGCCCTGGTTCTCTCACTCGCCACCTTTCTGATCTCGGGCAAGTTACCAACTTTTCACAACCTCACTGCCCCGTCTGTGGCACAGGGGTAACCAGTGTGAGCTCATCAGATTGTTGGGAGGGTCCAAAGAGACAATCCATGTTATCTGACATGACAAGTGCCTTCTCAGGGGCAGCCACCGCTACCCACAGGGAGAAGAGGAGGTACAGTGACAACTGTGGGAGCCGGAACACTACATGATGGGACGGCCTTGTCTTCCGGGTCTCACAAGTTTTCCACCCCTGAGAGAGTGCAGTCTTACTACATGTCCATCACCCTCAGTGGAAAATCTGTTTTCCTTTTCGGACATTGAGGCCATTTTGGAGGGGGGTAACGGGGTCAATGTGACTGCCCCTCTCCCCTTCCCCACTCCCAGGCTCTAGGTGGCCCTTGCACTGGGCAGGGCGCAAACCGAAAGGAACAGGCGGCCTTGCCTATTCAAAAGGGTGGTCTGGCTTCTCCCAGACCCCTCCCCTCAGCCCGGCACCCATACAGGAACAGGTGGGGGAGGACTTTGGAATGTCAGTCTCAAGGAAAACAAAGGCCTTTTGCCACTTGTTTCTACAAGCTGAGAAAGGCTGAGGGACACGGGGGCCTGTGCCCTGCCTCCCTTCAGGTTCGTTAAGACCCTGGAGGGGCAGGCCAGATCCCCTCCCCAGTCCCTCTGTCCCGCCTGGGACGAGCCACCCATGGGACCCTGAGCCTCCTCCCCGCCTCTCCCCTGCAGAGGAGCCAGCGTTGCTGCCCTGACAATGATGGAGAGCTCCTGAAACTGACGCCGATCAACATGGCGGCCCTGAGGAAGAGGAAGACACAGAGAGGTACATGGGAGGCGCAGACAACAAAGATGAACCCTTCTGCACATACAGTACCGTGCTGTCAGTGAAGGCAAACATGGGTATACGGGTGGATAGATGGGTGGACAGGCTGAACTAGTAGGTAGGTCTATGAAGCAGGGAGTGTACCCAAGACCATGTATAGGGTTGGCAGACAGTGGTCCTATAAGTTTATTTCTATGATCTGAATTCCCAGGTGTATAGCAGAGCTGACGAGGGACAATGTAGTCACTTCTTGGTCACAAAGCCAGCTACCCAGCAGGACCGAGTAGTTGAACTTGTGGGCTTGGGACCATAGTCACAGGGGACATCAAGCTCAACTGGCATAACTTACTACACAGAACATTGTTCTACCTCCTACTTTGGTGAGTAGTGACTGGGATCTTAAAAGCTTGCAAGCAGCAATCTAGATGCAACGATGGGTCTCTCCTCATCGAGAGCAAAGAAGAATAAAGGAAACCAAAGATTCATGGAAACAATTAGTCCTAGCGACTGGTACACCATGCGATCTGCAGCCTATATGACTATGAGACCAGAAGAACTAGATGGTGCCCGGCTACCACTGTCAACCACTTGGAGGGGGATCTATGTAGGAGATCCTGGATAGAGAGGGAGAACAATGTGGAACAAAACTCAAAATCATTTGGAGAAAAAAAAAAAAAAGGTGGGGACCAGGTTTGCTGGGCTGATAGAGCCTGGTGGAACCACTGAGACTATGGCCCCTAGCTGCCCTTCAGGTCTGAAATTGAACCCACACCTGTGGCTTCCAGCCAAACAAAAGACAGGCATATGAGCTGAACATTTACCTGGGGTAGATAACTCCTTGGAGAGAACAATCACGGGAGAAAGAAGGGCTGCTTATGCACAGGGAGACAACTCAGGGGGCAGGAGTGCATGGAGGGATGGACACAGGGAAGAGGTGACTGTCGGGAGAAACTGGGAGGGGTGCTGTTGCATTGTGGTGAATTGTGGTCAATCTCATGAGACACAGTGTACGTGAACTGCTGTATGGAGTGAATTTGCTCTGTAAACTTTCACCCAAACCACAATTAAAAAGAAAAAACAAAACACTGATGCCCAGGCCTGGCCCAGAGATTTGGTCTTCTCCTTGGTGTGTGCTGGGAGCTGGGCACCTCTCTCCCCCAGGGGAGTCTACGGTGCAGTCGAGCTTGAGGACTCTGACACAGGAACCAATGAACTGGGTGGGAGCAGTGGAGTTGAGGGGAGGGGAGGGAACCCCCACTTCCAGTTTTGCTGGGTTTTGCTTCTGGGACCAAACCCCTGCCCCATCCTGCCGCAGCCTCAAGGAGGCCAGACACATCTCCAGACCTTCTCAGGGGCTTCTCCAGCCCGTCGCCCTGTGTCAGTCCTGCCCTTCAGCCTGACGCCTGTGTGTGTGTGTGGGCGGCACTGGTAGAGAGTGGGGAGGGCCAGCCACCTGTGCCCTCCGGGAAGTCTTAGCAGCCCGAGAAATAAGGGCAACGACGGGCACTCTTCATAAAACTAAATTCACTCAACATAAATCACATTCTTAGTCATTTTTTTTGGCTTAAATGTTTACAGTAATGACCACTATGGTCCTGTGTCAAGCCCAGCCAGGCCCCTCTGCTTGTTTCTTTGCCTTCATTTTACAAATCTGAAAATCCCAGTGTTGGGACCACTGACCCGTGAGTAAAGCTGGGCTGGATTCCTCTAACCTCCAGCTAAGAGCCCCCTCCTTGGGCTCTGGGGCTCCCTTCCTACACTCGCCATCGCAGCCAGGCAGCTGGTTCAAAGTTCCTTGCTCCAGAAGGTCCATTCCCTCCCATCCTGCTCTCTTCAGGACTAAAGAGCTACCTCCCCCACCGAGGCCTGACCTGGCCCCTGGAGTTTGAGCGACAGGGAGAAACAAGAAGGAAATGAGCAGGTGCTTGGTGGTCCTCAAGGATCACAGCATATGCCCAGAAGGCAGGAAGGGACAGGAACGGATGAAAGGAAATGAAAAGGTTACCACAGGGAGGATGTGGGAAGAGACCTGTTACATTACGAGGTTTGCAATCAGTGTCATGAAACGAAACGCGTATGAGTTGTTGAAAACCAATTTCTCTGTAAACTTTCACCCTAATAATAATACAAAGTTTAAAGGAAAAGATGTAGGATTTCTTCCAAAGGCTTTGCTGAAGAACAACGGACATAGAGTCAATCTCTTTTAAAGTTGGTGTTTTTTTAAAGGGTGTATACTTGATGTTCTTAAACCTCTTTACAAAGAACTGACAGGAATCCACTTTCTTAATCCACCAACCCTTCCCAACCCTTCTGAACCCTTCTCACTATGTGATCTCTGCCTCCAGGGAGATTTATTAACCTCAAGTACCACCAACTAGCACACCCTTTGGCCTGAGAAGCTTGGACTCAATCGTCTGTGTTTCCTATTGTTTTGTAACTGGCTGCAAAGTTGGACCTTGTTTCCTGAGACAACATGCTAACTTTGTTTTCATGCCACGGCACCTGGAACAAGGTCCCTGAGGTATCAAGATTTTGGGGCAGCAGGTGGGAAAGCCCTGGGAGGGGAGAGGGAAGTGGCCACGGCCCTGCTGTCAGCTTCCGGAGGAAAGCTAGGTCCTTCTGAGGTTTCTTCCCTAACTGCCAAAGGCATGCTCTCAGGTTTCTCCTCGTGGGACGCAGGTGAAAGGAAGGTGCCCAGGCAAGTGAGAGGGAGGGGAACCCAGCAGGGGGGGCAGGAGGGGGACCTGGAAAGAGCCCAGCGTCAGTTCCCCGGGGAGTCCGCCCAGACAGTGCTCATCAAACCAACCAGGAGCAAACAGCCCCAGAGATTAGGGCTCAGAGAGAAGGCATCGGGCGTGCGGAAGGCAAGCCTGGCATCTGCTAGGGACCCCTCTGGAGACTTGGGCCCCCGGCCTGAAGAGTAAAGTCTGGGAGTGTGACGTTTGCCCGCACACGCGGGGCTGTCTCACTGACTCACGTGATCCAGCCCCAACTGGACACTCGAAGGGCTTCTACTCCAGGCAGGGGTCAATCAACCGCGCGCGGCTGCCAGGGCGGCTCGCCGGTGCGCAGCGCCACGAGGCCCTCGGGAGCCGGCAGAGGCTGTGGGATCCCGCAGCGCAAGTGCAACGCCGGGCGGAGGCGCTGGGGGCGCAGAGGCGCCGCTCGAGCCCCCGGCTGGA